GGGGCGTAAACCCGGTATTAAATCCTCTCCTGGCAAAGCGGCGCAAGTGTTCTAGGACGTGCCCATCGTCTGACGACATCGAGTCCCTCTTGGATTCGGTCTGGCCGGATGTTACCGTCTCCTTCGGGTCAAAAGGTGAACCATCCATAGGACAGACCGTGCCTTTCTCAGGCAAAGTCCCGTTGATGAAGTACGCTCGAACGACTTTCGTAGTGCACACAGAGGGTGCAGTGAGAGAAGCATGCTACGGGAAGGAAATTTCGAGTATGAGCGACGGAGGAAAGACGAACACTTCTGGCTCACTCCGGGAGAATCGCGTGTTAGAACGACCGATCCGGGGAAGGCCAAGGATACATTTGTTGCGCTGTAGGCAAAGAGGCGAGGTGTTAGAGAAATTGCTGTGCTAAATGATTGGAACTTACGCCTCGAGAGGGGTGACAGGATCTGTGGGGGTGGATTGGGGGCGTTAGCTTAACTTCTAAGTATCCGGAAGGGCTTGTGATTGGGATGTGTTCATACCAGCTGTGTTCCCGATAATCAACATGGGGAAGCTAGTGTTTCCAGCGATTGGTCCTATACAAAGGAATAACCACAGCCTTGTCGGCCAAAAACGAGGAGCTTGAAGGCCGGGACGAACCTCTAAATTGGGTTTTGGGAATATCCTTCGACCAGCCGCTAGATACCAGACAAAGCTTTGTTCAGGAACCCGACAGTAACGATAGAGTAGCACTTACTTGCACGTAATCCTATACGACGCAAAGATCGACCCAAGCAGCGAATAGTCCGCCGAGGCCTCATAATGCGCTTGTGCTGCCTCAAACTCGGGAGGCACAGCATCCCCATCATTGCACATATACCCCATGAGCCCTTCGCTGAGGTACTCAAACTCGTATTTGCTCAAGTCACAGTCGCACTCAAATGGCGGAGCCTCCTTAATAACCTCGGACCAGATCGTAGTCGCATTTCCTTCCTTCAAATTTTGAAAACCCTTTGCGAGATCAGGCCAGGCAGAGAAGGGTTTGTACAGGGAGTTGAACAGTATCAATCGCAAGTACCTGTAGTCGACAATGCCGTTAGAGACACTGCCTTGGACGGCAATTGGGGATTTGATGACGGATGCGTAAATGTCGTTCAATTTGCTTTCCATCGCTTCGACGGAGTCTTCGTGGAAAGCGCAAGATTCGGGGCCAGCTTCCAAGCAGCTTTCGAAAAACCATCGCAATGTCTTGCCGCTGTCTTTAGTGGCGGTCAACGATTGAGCTGTGGTAAGTAAAGCATCGTTTCGAGAGATCAGATTGCATGAGCCTGATCCACCCGCTGCGGTAGTAATCCTCAGGATCAGCGACCCCATCAATGACGATACGTTCAACTTTGTCCTACAAAGCGAAACTGTCATAAGCCAACTTTTATACACAATGATTTAGGGTACTATAAACTCACTGGAAACATGGAAGCGAAAGTGTAACCAAGTACAGAGCCGTACCTTCATCTGATTTGAGTAATATCCTTGAATGGGCAGGACTTGTGTACCCACGAAAAACCCCAAAACTGAACTTTCTCTCTACCATAAGCCTCAGCAATTGAAAGCATATCCCTAGCTGAATGGTCAGTGTTCATGTGAGCCAAGATGTTCTTATCCTTGTCTCTTTGAGCTGCAAGCGATCCTATAATCTTGACGGAGGCCCAAAAATGACCAACGTCCGTTGACGAGGAGTTGAGTTCGTCGATAGTCTTATGCACGAGCATACGTTCCACACGACTTTCGTAGAACTCGATACGAGGGGTCGAGCGTTGTATGCCTAAGACGTGAACGGTAAGCAACATTCTAACAGCTGACAGTTTACATACCGCGAGGATCAAACCCTTGAATGAGGTCGTATTCGGGTCCCACAGTGGCACGGAGCATCGCTGCCCCGTCGCGAACAAACTCAACACCGCTGCCTCCTGGACCTCCAGGGTTGAAAAGGATGGGGCCCCGATAGTCTGGGCTATCTGAAGACACGTTGGCAGCTAGACGCACGAGGCTAGCGCGGCTGATTCGCCCTCAGGTTCGTGATAATTCAATGGTACCTGTCAGTGTTTAGTGGGGGGTCAGGCGGACCATGACGTAGTGGAGGCAGGATTCCCAATATACATGAAGGCGGGTACATTCAAACTCTCCAACGTCTCTGTAACATTCTACCCATCGAAGTTCTTTCGAGGGTTCCAGCTATCGACGAAGGACGACATCAATATGGGGAATGTGCGTGTGCGTGTCTTCCAATGTGAACGCACCGTTCTCCAGGAGGTTTCATTCCAAGATTGAGTACTGTTGCCATCATCGCGGGCTGATAGGTGTCTCCGTGTTGTTGCAGCGCGATCTGCCTTTGCGTGTCCAGAGAAGAATGAGAGAAATGCGCAGACAAACAAGAGATTCTTCGATAAGTGTCTAAGATCCATAAGGTTATAGGTTGAATGTTAGGATGGGCCCGTTGGTGAGTCCTCTTTTATGCGAGTGGTAGCCCTCAAAAATCCCGGACTAACCGATGTACTGAAGCCGCAAATGTGGAGCATCCCGCCAGTGGAGGTGTCACAAAACTAGGGCAACTTGGAACTAAGGCCATGCCGATACCCCAAAGCACGGATCGTCAGATTGAGGATGGCACCACGACCTCGCAACTTAGCGATTTGTGGATAGCCTCAGTCTTTCGCCACTCGACAATGCGCGCCTCTGCAAAACCAGAAAGGTCTGCAGCCTGAGCATTTTTTTATCGCAACTACCCCCGTCCTTCAATCCATTGTATGGCGAAGAGTGCCCATTTGACAGAGTTGTAACTTGAAGTGAGACGCCATGGACAGATAGACGGCTCCAGAACGTCATCGATTTATCCATCCCGGCCATTGTCACCAATTGTAGTCGTCGGTCTGCTTCGATTACAACGCGGAAAGACCAAACTTCAGGAGAGCAGTGTACCTTGCATAGTGTGACGGGAGGGTGAGAGTTAGCCTTAAGATTCCCATGGCTGTGTGGACTAGGCTATGGTTTGTGGAGAATGTTGGTTGAGAGAGTTGCTGTATGCTGGAAAAATGTTGAATCTCGAGACTTTCAGTGTTCACGAACCCGAAGGAACACATTGCGCCCAACAGAAGAACCGGAGGGAGTACCGCGCAATCACGATGCAGCTGAGAAATTGTTTGTAGATCGCAAGGAGACTGTGACTATATGAGCATAATGAAATCGAGTTGGCGTAGGGCAGATAGGCTGTTGTGGTCTGAGTCTGGATATTCTACAATGTCCACTCAATATCGTGGCAGACAACACAGAGGTGACCAAAAACTCGAAGACAAGATCAGGGATGTGCCAGGCGACGAGCGTGAGAGCGACTGAGCGCCCATCCCCTTGAGCGTTGCCGAAGGATCCGAATCGGCGTCATCATCGTCCTTTGGCCCAGAACCACCACCTCCGAATATCTTCTAAAACTCGACAGGTGCATTGCTGCCCTCTTCCTCGCCTCTTTTACTACGCTAGGGGAAACAATGGCTCGTCGGCACAATTAACATCAACGAAACGAACTTAAAGGACCCGAAGTTTATGGAGGAGCGACAAAGGACATGAACGGGCCCTCTGGTTGACCCTATCATCACAGCTTTCGGGTGCGTGCGTGTTCCTACCTTATTTCAGCACCGTGATATGGTTGTTGAACGAGGACTAGATGCAATACGTACAATAATGGTACACGTTTCAGTCAAGATGAAGACACCCGGATTGACTCAGTGTACTCCGTGTGAGACTGTAATTGACGTCGGCGGTTGTAGGCGATTGCCTACTCCTTTACCATGTCTGAAAGTTCTGACGGTGGATGATCTTTTACTTAAACCAGAGCAGAACTATCATCAACTCACAAGAATATGTCTCCGTCGACACCTGAAGATTCGTCGTATTTGGCACCATCGTCAGCCTCGACCTCTTCCACGCTCTCTAACATTTCACTCTCTTCTTTCACAAGCGCTTCAACCTCATCGTCCTGCACATCAGCTTCGTCCAACCCTTTGACTATGCAAGAATACTTCAAAGATGCAATTCCATCGGGAGCAGTGACTCCCCTTCCTCCTCTTCCTCGTAACCCTCGAACACAGGGCAGGTCAATGTCATTGACGGAACGGCGGGGCTACACCCTCAGCATATCGATTCACCCTAGTCATTTCTGGTGTACCAGTGACGCTAAAGGAGCACTTGAGCCACGAGCCGGTGCTTTACCTCGTCGAAGGAGGAAACAGGCGGTCAAGTTGATACCAGTCGCATCAGTGATCCAGGAGGCGGAGCAATTCGATTTTACGACACTAATCTCAGGATAACCTTCATGGAAGGGCTTCGTCGTACCCCTTTCCGTTCTCCATTTTCAAGTTGTTCCTCATGGCGATCCCCGAATTCCATAATTACGATGGCCCCTTTGCAATCCCACTGAGAGCTGGTCTCTGTCAAATTTATGCCATATCGCCCTCTGCAGGAGTTACTTATACCCCGCGACCCCGCGACATCATGACATTGTAGAACCTGCTGGATGCCACGCCCCAGGGCCATTTCCCTGTGCCACTTCTATGTATCCGTACCAAACTCATCCCAGTTAATTCCAGCAGTCATGCGGCATCTTTTACAATGCGCCATTATCGTTTATTCACTTCTCAATGGTTGAATTCGGACGGAATTCCCAACTATAACTAAGAAAGGACAACTCACCTATTGACCCGGACTTGTGGGTGTTTGTGTGTGGAATACGGATGGTACCGGTACCTTTTTAGTACGCACGCCACTGATGATCGCTTATAAAGGAACTCTGCGCTTCCCTGCAGTTTGAATATAAATCAAGGTACTTTGCGAGGATGGGTGCAGGTGGGTGCAAGTAAGACGTGAGTGCTCGAAGAACGCCCGAACAAGTTAAGCTAGTTAAGGGTAGGAACCGGTGATTGCATTCATTTCCTTCGCGCAAAAACCATCGAGTCATGTCGTTCATGATGCATAATGGACAACTCCGGATTTGAACCGGAGACCTTTCGCAAACCCGTGGAGTAGCTCTCAGATGCGAAGCGAACGCGATAACCACTACGCTAGTTGCCCGTGTATTTTTAGAATTCATCAATGGATGTTTCTAAACATCAGAATCTATTGTGTTCAGCACTATTATGCAATATGCAGGAATTTGGCTATGGTACTAATCTAGGTTCGAGGAAAGTCACATAGCCAGCCAGTGGCTACAGTAAGCTCCTTATGCCTTGGCCAAGATTTCGGTGACCTTGCTGTCACGAGGAGTCATCGAGATGCGGAAGGGGACGGGGGAACGACCGGAGAGACCGTCGTACTCCTTCAAGTCGATGGGCTCGTTAGGGAGCGATTGGAGGTTGAAGGCCCAGATAAGCCTGGCAACGACCAAGAAGATCTCACGCTCAGCGACCCACATACCAGGGCAGATACGACGGCTGAAAAGTGAAATGAGCAACGAGTCCATGAGTTGAGTGGCTGAGGTACGCTTACCCAACACCGAACATCCAGTGGTCACGCTCGTATGGGTTGGCAAGGTTGGCGGATTCGGAGGCGAGGGTAGAGTCGTTGACGTAACGTTCCGGGTTGAATTTGAAGGGCTCGGGGTGCCTGGCGGGGTCGTGGTGCATGGTGTAGGTGTTCAAGACGACGACGGTGTCCTTGGGGATGAATTGGCCGCGGTAGGTGAAGTCGGCAGAGTTGACATGGGGGGTACCGAGCCAGAAGGGGTTGTGGCAACGCTCGACTTCCTTGATGATGGCGTGGACGAATGGGAGGTTCTTCTCGTCTTCGATCGTTGGGAGACGGTCACGGCCGACGACTCGGTCAACTTCCTCCTGAGCCTTCTTCTGGATTTCGGGGTAGGACGGGATCAAAGCAGAGAACCATTGCATGATAGACGCAGTCTGCAAAGGGCATCAGATACACAGGAGAAAAGGGTCGGGAGAAATCACTCACAGTCTCAACACCACCAATCATGAAAGCGGAAATCATGATAGCCATATCGAGGTGATCGAGCTCTTCTTCCTCCTGAATCTCGATGAGGTGCTTGACTAAACAGTCCGGAACCTTCTCGCCAGCCTTCATGCGCTTCTCCATCGCAAGGATCATGCCACCGTAGGTCTCAACGAGATCCTTGTTGAGCTGTTCACCACGCTTGATCATGTAGTTCCAGTCGCCGAGTTTCTGAAGGGCGGGGACGAAGTCGGTCAAGTTGGAGACGGGGCCAGTGCAGTTCATGAATTCTCGGGAGAGCTTGAGGGCCTTAGCGACCAAGGGGTCATCGATGGACTCGGTACGCATGCCAAAGGCGACAGTCAACATGTTGTTGAGACTGCATCGTCCAGCGTGAGGTTCTGAAAGGCGATAATAAGACGTCGGTTTCATGGGCAATAAAAGTCACTTACGAGGGTTGATGGGGAGGGCGCCGTTGTTGGTGTGCTGCAAGATGTCTTTGATGAGAATGGTGGCTTCGTAGTCAAGAACGTGAGTGTATCCATCGACGGAACGAGCGACGAGGGAAGTCGAGGCAATACGACGGTGCTTCCTCCATCTGTCGTTATAGGGCTGGATGTATATCAAAAATCAGTTACCCTTTGAATTGATACTTGCGATTAGTGATTAGACTTACAGTGGCAGTGATACCACGTCCAACGAAGATCTTCTTGGACTTCAAGAACATCTCCTTACGGGAAGAGAAGACGGCACCGTTTGTGACCATGAGATCCTAGCAAGTCGACATGAACAATGCAACACTTGCATTTGAACACGTCTGTTACTCACCTTGACGATTTGAGGGTCCGAGATCATGAGGAAGAGCTGGTTTCCGAGCCACACGGAGTACATGGGACCGTAGCGCTTGGCCCAGTGGTCCAAGGTGAGTTCCGGGAAGTGGGTAAGGAACGGGTGAGAGCCTAGACGGATATGTCAGTTCGCGAAAGTCCAGACCTCGCAAGTGGAAAGCACCCACCGACGATGGGGAGACCGACGGGGCCAGGAGGGATTCCATTTCCAGCGCTATCCGTGAGCTTCCTGCCAAAGACGTATTCCTTCAAGGTTTGGAAGTAGACAAAGACTGTCGCGAGGGCCGAAGCGAACACGACTGTCCTCAGCGAGCTGAAGAGATCGAAGATTTCTGACATTGTTGTCAGTGTCGGGAAGACTTTGGCTGGATAGGTCTGGAAGCTGGGTGTGGAATGTAGGAGGGGTGCTTCGATACTCTAGCTCAATCTAGCCCCCAGCTTTTTGTACTCCTGGAGTGTCCGTCAGGGTAAATAACCTGAGTAGGCACTTGCAAATCCAAGGAAACGTACAGCTGTCGAACCTTCGAACACGAGCAAATTCAGTTGATTGTTGGCCGGGCGATGTCTACGCTGGAGGATCGGAACGTTAGCCACACCACTGTCCGACATTTCAACTATCACCCACCGGGTGTCGACATTGCGTGCTGGGAACAAGGCAATGAAAGCCTCCCGCAGTCCGCATAATTGCCATGTTCGCCACTCGGGGCTATCAGTCTTACAACCGGGTCAGGCCGTACAAGAAGGCGAAGGACCGCGGCCTGAGTACGAAGTAGGCAATACGGCACGTTCCATCATTCGAAAGCGAGCGACGCCCCGCCCAGCGCGAAGTAGCGCCACTAGTAATCTCGAAGGTAGGGCCTGTTTTTAACAATGACTCACTCCCTACGACTTGCATATTCACCTCCACCTGCAACCAGGAGGCGCCATGTCTGCAAGGTGGCTGTCGATTGCAACTGACCTACCTGAGCGTCTGCCGCGCCAAGCTGGGTTCGGGAGATGAGATTGAGGGCGCGAAGAGGACGACAGCCCGGACCGCCATCCATAGCGCATGCCCAACCTCGTCTAGTACTGCGGTGCCATCTACGTGGGACCATCCGGATCTGATTGAAATCTCTCCCCGCGTTGGATGGCGGCCCTTGTTTGTTTAACGAGGCTCAAGCGCTCACGCAGTGTTTCCGTCATTGTCTTCAATATATCTGCTAAACGGATGCATGATGAGGCTAAACCGGGAACAGATATCGATAGACTACGATGAGGGTCAGTTAGACCAATAGCAATCCATCACGAATGCGACACAACAGAAACCTTAGAGCACATACCGAGTGCCACAGTGCACCTGGAGGATAGCAGATAATCAAGCATTTACACAGAGGCGTTTGATCTCGGTCAAAGGCCAGGATTGTGGGAGGTTACGACGTGAAAACGCAAAAAAGTTAGTCACCCGAATAGCCCTACTAAAAATGTAGTTTGTGCCGAGCGGTCCGGAAGAGGGGCAGACTCGAGTAACCCTGGGTGTCGCGAAGGGGGAAACAAAGCTTGTATACATAGGCAAGATACTTGAATATTTCCGTCTTGTTCTCCGTGGCCAAACTATCTGAGAGTCTACAACAACCGGAGTTGCAATCCCTGAGCGCTCAGCGGGTACAAGGATACGACACTGCCGTTCAACACTCAACCTTGTTGACGCTAGACACCAAAGGAAGACCTGTGGATCCAGCATTCACAGATCAGATTGATGTCCATCTGCCCGGCTCCCAGGGGACGAGTGCAGTACCTATTACAAGTGTCAGCAAGTGAGCAAAGAGTCTATTTGAGGTCAGACTGGCTCACGCGAGCGACGATACCCCAGAGAGGATGGGGTAAATCCTGGTAGATCTATGCTCAATGTATGCCAGACGAGATTCTTGTCCCTCATCGTCCTTTGCTTCCATGCGTCCCACAACCTGGGCGCCATGTAATCCATAAGTATACGCTTTTGGTCATAGGTTCACGACGAGTGCCTCAGAAATTCTATGAGGAAGGGGTCAATTGGAACTGGACAAACAATTGCAAACGGATTGACTGGACGCACTGAGTGCACGGTTATTGGTCTGACCCCCGCCGATGATTCGCACCCACATATGACCGGAAACTATATCGCAGACGGCGCCCAGCTTCTCAGCCAGTAATACGCGGGCAATTACTGGGGCTGTCGATGCCTGTACCGTGACCCAAATTGATACCCAGGGCGTTTCGTCGGCATAAGTTGACATAGACTCGAATGTCAATGACAGCATCTCGAGCATCCATCAATGTTCCTTTCCATGCTTCATGTCTTGCTCCCAAGACCATCTCGGAGTTTGACCGCAACACCACTGGGCGTGTTTCTAAGCTCGAGCGGGCGCGGTTGAACGTTGAACATTGAATGTTCGATGGGCGCAACTTTCACTTGCATATTTCGCCCGAGGACGATGTTTCTGTGTTCTGACGATTCTTGAACCGCGGAAACGACGGTTTGCAAAGCCCCTGAGAGTGCAGCGGTCTTGGCTTTGCGTAGGTCGACTTTTGGACCCTCAATCAACCCTTAATATGTAAGCCGCGACTTGTAATCTTCTGTCTGAAAACGTCTCGATATGATGATACATACTTTACTTTTGGATCGACATGCTGCGTCGCTCTTCATTGCTCGTCGATCTCTGCTTCCATTACAGCGTCTTCTCCTTGTTGTCCACCCCACCATGCCGTCGGCCCTAGTCCCTGTTCAGCGATAGAGCACTAAGCGAGATGTTAGCCGATGTGCAGCACCTCCGTGTTTCTTGGGGGGGAAACTCACCACTATGCTGAACGGCGCCCTTCGCCTCTGCATATCCACCGGAACACCATCTTGAACTTTGGGAGGGCCCGGTTCGTCGTCGTAAAACTCATCAGACTCGACACGAACGCGTATGACCTCCCCTTGATCAATGTACATCCGTTCTGCAACCGGAGTGTCGAGCATTTCGTGGGTCGTAGTGAGGTCGGAATCTGGAAGCCAGAAGAACGACCGTTCGTTTGGGTCGCTACAGGTTGGAGAACATCAATGAGACTTCTGGGATGGAGTTTGAAGGAGACTGACAAGGCACAGGGTTGAGGAAGGTATATGGCTGGTATATAGATGTCGTCGAAGAACCCTAATGAGACTGGCAAGGATATTAGATTTCCTTCCATTCGGTTGAATTGGTCACGATGTACCTCTTATTGACTCTTGGTCTGATGATTTTACTTTGCCCACAATGACCTCGGAATTGAACGGTCTGA